AATTTAGAATGTAAAAAGTCATAATTTGGTTAAATATTGAATCATTTACAAGCTCCGAAAGATAACATATAATCTATAGTATTTCAACCGGTTCTACTTTGAAAAATTATCCGAAAAACCGGGACCGGAACCGGAACCGGCGCTAGAACCGGCGGTCCGGTTCCCGGTTCTTATAATATAGGAAAACCGGTTCCAGTTCCGAACCGGCCCGGTTCTAAAGCTCATCCCTAGTTTCAGGTACTTCCGGTTCCAAGGGGAAGAGTTCGGGATGACTGCATCACACACACCACATGGTTTCCGCTTTTGGTATATTACTTTGATCGATATGATGTTTGATACACTTATTTCCATTTGGGTTGTATGGATAATGTTTTTGAATATTGTTTTATTTAAATTAAAAATAAAATTTTTGGATCATATTTTTTGGACGGTGCACACCCTCTCTCTTTAATATTAGACCCTTCGATGCGCCCTCTACCACACACCGTGGTATGTGATGTGGCATCGCGGTGTGCGGTAAACACCATACCGACCCCCTTGCTTCACTGCAGTAAGCATATCGCACGTTATCGTTTCACCGCACGGGAAAAACAAACCTACCCCTGAAAGGTAGTACTTTGTGCATAAAAATATGCATTGTGGTGGTTGTGGTAAGATATGATATGACACCTACCAGTTTTGTAGGATGGGGGGAAAATGACATGGCATACTAAATGTGTGGTAAGGTGAGTGACCACGCCCACCAACTTCATATTCAATTTTATTTTATTAAACTCTTGTTTAACTCTCATCGTGAATGCCTTAATGGTTTACTAAAAACATGCCTTTGAAAATTATAATCTACGCACAAATATCAAATCCCTTTAGAATTCGTGGATGTATCAAAAGTATCAAAGAAGTATCAGCCCCCATACGTTATTGTAAGGGAAATTTCCGATAAAGTCTCAATATTTTAGGTAAGTTTACAGTTTAATCATAATTTTTATTTTTTGAATAGAAAAATTCTATTATTTTATATTTTACTCAAATTAACGAAACATTCCTTATTTTTTTTCAACATAAAATGCCAGAATATCGTATAAAAGAAATCTTCAAAAAAGTCTCAATACTTTGGGTTTGTTTACGGTTTAATCCCAACATTTATTTTTGAACATAAAAGTCTCTATTATCTAATTTTATACGATAATCTGTCATGTTATGTTGAAAAAGAAAATAAGAATTTTTTGTTAATTTGAGCAAAACATAAAATAGGACTTGTTCAAAAAATAAAAATTATGATTAAACGGCAAGTGACCAAAAATATTAAGATTTTATTGGTATAAAGTTTGAAATAGAGACTTGTTCAAAAAATTAAAAGTTAAACCCTAAATTAATCTAAAATATTTGAATTTTTTGAAGACCTGTTATATTTAGTTTTACTAATTTCCTTTAAAACTCTGTCTGTAAAATTTAGAACCGAAAACCTCGAAATTTCAGAGACAACCTTCCTCCCAGCTCCCGCCAAGCACATCACCCATTATCTTGTAGCGATTTTGTTTCCCAGATTTTCTAGTGTTTCGTCGTAATTGTCTCCTTGATTTACGTAACTAATAACTTGTAGCAGTTTGTGTATTGCAAATTAATCTTCGATGCTATATGAAGCTACCTACTTTGCTCGATTACGGTAACTTGATACTGTTTAATTCAACTTGTCAATTAATAATATTTTTTTTTCTCTGCTATCTAGTAGGCTGATAAAAGATTGAGGAGATGATGAGGAAGACGACGTTCAAGGGAGCGAATGTGTTCATCTCTAGGAATTTAGTGCCGCCTGAGATATTCGATTCGCTTCACGACGTTCTGAAAGATAATGGAGCTGAGATCTTCCTGTGTTGTGATCCTTCCCGGAATGGACCTGATGATTACCACGTTATCGCCGCTCGAGATCATGTATATGCATGTTGTATTAGTACCGGTAGATATTGACTGTGTATTTGTAAGAATTTGGAGTTTACCAATTGTTCCCAATGATTTTTGCAGGAAAAGTTGGATGATCTGCGCCAGAAAGGTTGTAATTTGCTTGGTATGGCTGTGAGCTTACCCTTTCAGGTTCCTTGATCTTTATTTGTTTGCTCAGACCTCCTCTCTGTCACTTTGTTTAGGTTTTAATTTTATTCTAAGAATTAGCAAAAAGTTCATTATTCATGTTATCTTATTCTGAACCACTTGAATTTGTGTATACTTAGTTAATATATACTGCAAGTACTTAGAAGGCCCCTAATTTGAGTTGGCGACTTTTTGTAATTTTTTATAACAAATAATTATTATGGCAAACTATATCATAAGAGTATATTCAGATATATAAAGTATTCACTAGAAAACCTTGATATTATAAGTTATACCAAAATATAGATTCTTGTCAGTCTGTTTACATTGATATAAAAGTTTTAAGCATGATACCCTACTAGGAGGTGCATATAACATGTCAAAAGAAGCTGTTTAGTAGAAGATTGGTGTGTTACAATGAGCTACTTGTACTTTTTCCAGGTCCTCAATGTGTTTTTTCGTGTGCAAAAGAGCATAGAGAACTGCCAAAACAAGGATTCACTTGTTGCCTTGCGATGGATGGAGTCAAGATACTGGCATCTGGCTTTAAAATGGAGAGAAAGGTTCTTTTCCCATGGTTATTACTAATCTTTACAAGTATTACGTTGTGTTTAGAATGTATTTCCTTTTCTTTTTAGTAATATCTGACCTTCTTCCTTAATCAGATGAAAAAGGGACACCACACAGATATATCATGTTTCTTGACATGATTTAACTTGAGTGTCCTAATATGAAGGATAAATTTACAAATGTGAAGATAAATCCTTTCCGTCCTTATCTAAGATATATGTTCTTTCTATTCATAAAGTTCCAGGTTGTAGTATTTGAGGGGATGTTTGATGTTTCATCTCTGTATATATAGTTTCTCGACTCATCTTATTTGTAAAATTTATATGTAAATACATCTTTAGAAAACTTCGTTTCTTATTTTATTCTTTCTAAAAATGTCTTGTAGGATGAGATTGACAAGTTAGTGACTGCTATGGGAGGTTTGTTGCAAACTAAAGCATCATCAGACATTAGCTTTGTCATTGTGAAGAATGTACTAGCTGGAAAATATAAGGTTTTGTTTCTGTTCTGTTTTCACATGAGTAATAACTTATGTATTTTCTTTGTTGCTTTGTCATAAGTCTGAATATGCTTTTATCAATACTTTTACACTTTCAAGTCTCAACCACCATTATTTTAAAGGTTGTTGAGTCATCTAGTTTGCTTTTGTTTACATGTTTTGCAGTGGGCTTTGAACAATTTGAAGAAACCAATTGTCTCTGAGAATTGGCTGCACCAGTGCTGGAAAGAGCATCGTGTTGTTCCTCATGACTCATACCGAGTTCTTCCCTTTTCTGGGTTGACAATTAGTGTCACCCAAATGCCTTCAGGTTGATTATCATGAAAATCTTTATATGTTAACTGTGAATCTCTTAACATGGCTAACATGTTTGTTTCTCATTCTCACAGATGAGCGTGAGGAGATAAAAAAGATTGTCCTACTCCTACAGAATGGGGGAAAATATTCTGCTGAACTCACAAAAAAGAGTAGTCATCTAGTGTGTGATATATCCTTAATCATTTTGTGAATCATGTTTAATCATACTTTAAGTGGATTACATCACCTTAACCACTAACCCACACTCCTGAAGGTGACAAATACAAGGTTGCAAAAAGATGGGGTCACATTTGTATTGTTACTAGAACTTGGTTCTACCAGTCTGTTGCTAGAAAAGGCAATACTTAAGTTCAATCACAGACTTGGATTGTGATGCATATACCTTTTTAACTTCACTTTGTTAGGCTTCTGATTATGAATTATCTTTTTTTGTGATGAATAGCATGTTTGAATGAGGAGTCACATCCATGAACAATCAAAAGACTTGTAGCCAAAACAAGGTTATCAGAAACTCAGAGGAGGGTGGTCCAATTTCCATGACCCATCAAGATATTTCATGTGATGCTGATCTGGAAGCAACTCTGGAGATTGAAGATGATTCTCAATCTGAAGACAAGGATTTGTACTTGTTGAATTGCAAAATTCATCTTGTTGTTTTTGATGCTTCTGAAATGCATGGATTGGTGAACATGGTTAGAAGAGGAAGTGGTTCTCTTTATATGTCTCTTAACGATCAGTTAACACACATTGTTGTTGGAACTCCCTCCGAAACGCAAGTATCTTTTCATGCCAATTAATTATATTATATTTTATTAATTTGTTTATGTGCCACTCATTTTCTATGAATAATGCAGTGAGAAGAAAGAGGTAAGGAGCCTTTCTGCTATGGGTGTCATCAATGTGGTGAAAAGGGTATGGCTTGAAGATTGTGAACGTGAAAAGAAACAGCTCCCTGTACTTGGGAGACACGTTGCTTATGATTTGCTCCTCCCAAAAGCCAAAGGTGTGTATTCATTGATCATTTCATAATATCTAAATAATCATTTGCATTTATATCATTATCATAATCTCACCATTACAACCATGGCAGTGTCACAAATTTTGACTAAACCTTGAAAACTCTGTCTCAATTTGTTTATCTTGTTCCCTGATTTGCAGATTCCATGCCCTTTAATAAGGGATTTTTAAGGGAACCCCTCCACTGTTCACCCACCTTTGCCAGATGATCAGTCTCAAAGTCAAAAGGTATACCAAGTCTAGTTTTATGTCGTCTTTTACTTTTAGAAGAAAAAGGGACCAAAGTTGCCATGAATAACATTAAACAACAGTCAATAGTTGTTGAAATAGAAGCAATATGTTACATGACTCTTGTTTCTTGTTTGCTATGAAATATGAATAGTCAACCCCAACCCATTGCTAATTGAAGATACCAAGGGTAAATTGGTAAAATGACATGAAAGACAGCATTGGAAAAATATAAAATAAAAACAGCTCCAAATATGGAAAACATGATGTTATCAAGTTAGTAGCCTAATATTAGTGTCAGTGGCCAAGAGTCTTGAACAAGTAGTGTAGTTAACTTATGGGTTCAAGATTCAATGTTTTTTTACATTCAAGAAACATACTATTACTATTACTGATGTGGATTTGTTATATTAAATTTTTTTTTTTCACTTTCTCGTTGTGGAGGGAATATATTGCATATGTAAAAAGAAACACGAGACAAAATAAAATATATGCTCAAGTTACAAGGAATATTGAGCACTAAATTTTGGTCACATATCATCATCCTTCATATCGATAGTATCAATTGGACAACATAAAGTTAAAGTTCTGTTTGTTACATAACAAGCATTTGAGGCCCATTTTCGGTATGAGATATTCATTATCTTTTTTTAAATTGGTGAACACGAATCCATTTCGTGTTGTTTTGTTCTAATTTTGTGGATGCAATAAAAAAATATATAAATACAATTTGTGTCCTATTCACGTTCCAATGCACGTCAAATGTAAGACAACATGTCAACATGTTAGGGTCTATTGTCTAAAGAAAAACAAATGGAGAACCTTTAACTTCATATTTGTCAACCCATTCATAAAAATATAATAGTATCTATGACCTCTATACACTTTTCTTTCATTCAGGTTTATATCATCCCACCATATTGCTCTTTCTAAATCACTGGTTGTAATACGACATTGAAATTATCTGGCTGGAGCGATAGAAAATGTATTTTTAGGACATATTTTGGGTGTAAGTGTAAGGGATAAAAGAAGCTATAGTTCATCAAATTTTAAGACGTATTTTGGATGTAACGTATAAAGGGTTACCCTCTTTTGGGAAAGCGAACTATCTAATTTCTTTATAAAAAAACATTTACAACGCTTTTATAACTTTTTGTAGAACCTATTTAACTTTTTTACAGTTTATAACTTTTTTAACAGTTTTAACATTTTTACAATGTTTTTAGAATATTCTTAAACTTTGTTAGAATGTTTTTAAAATTGTTTTACAACCAACACAACAAATAAAATGTTTTTACAACAATTTTTAAACTTCTTTTACATCTTTTTTAAATTGTTTGACAAACTTTTTTAAAAAGAAATTAACAACTTTTTTTTAGATTTTTTACAAAATATTTTTATATTTTTGTTACAACTATTTTTTACAAAACTTTTAACCTAGGAAGATTTTTTCTAAAACTTTTTATAAACAATATTTGTATAAAAAATGTGTTAAACATGAAAATATATAAGTAAAAAAGTTTTAAAAACTTGAAACGCTTATAAAAAAGTTTAAACAAAGCATGAAAAAGCATTAGTAAAAAAAATTTAAAAAGCTTGAAATGTATATTTTTTAAATGTACAAAAAAGTCTTAATTTTTTTTAAAGTATATAAAAATATAAAGAAAGCTGTAAAAAAGCTTATTAAAAACTGTAAAAACAAATTCGAAAAATGAAAAAAAAAAAAAAAAAAAAAAAAAAAAAACTAAATTTGG